TATGGCTCAAGTAATGTTTAACATCTGTATATATATTTTGTGCATCTCATTGTTGGAGGATTGGTTGGACTGAACGGCTGCCTGACTATGAACTGAAATATTGCTGTTTTGGAAGATGAGTTATCGTTTTTAATTATATTTAGATCGTCTCTTTCTTCCAAGGTGATCAAGGTGGTAGACATAATTTCCTCCTGGAGAGGAAATGTAATAGATTTAAATAAATAGGTCAATCTATCTCTGCTCTTTTTCAATTACACAATGTGTTAATTCTGTCTGATTTGCACATTTATTATTGTTTTTTTTACACAAATATGAGGAGTTTTTTTTATGTTTGCATGGCTAATCCACATTTTAAAAAATGTATTAGCCTAAAATAAACATCTTCATGTGAATTCTGGTGTTGGCTTTGAGCGCAAGAAGGTATCTCGTAGGCCATCTTGACTGCTGACATGGGTGCCATCAACATCGGGCTGCCCATTACTATGTAAACTTTGGCACCCTTTTTCTCACTGGCAATGCAGGCAAAATATTGTGCATCAGTATCAGGCCGTTTCCTGGTGTTTTGACTCATGGATACAGAAGTACAATATCTCATATTTAAAAATGGAGGTTTTTTTTAAAGACTTGATTAACTTCATTATGCATGGTTTTCTGATATGACCCTATTTCTGTTTCTTTCTGTGTTTCTTCATCATACGTTCCTTGCTTCTTTTATTCCAATAACTTCTATTTTAGTGGTAAAGGGAGATTCTTAATTTCCTGGAGCTGTGTGGCAGGACTGGAGCCTTTTCTCAAGTCAGAGGCTGGAGATTTTATGTTTTTGAACTACAACTCCCAAAACTCCCTTTTGGAGAGTGGCCGTGAAGGGGGGGAGAGAGTAACTTCTCCAAGTCCTAGCCTGAGCTGCTTGGATAGCTCAGTGGTTTAGGCAGAGGTTGGGAGTTTGATTCCCCCATTGACAAGGGCTGGATTTGATGAATGGAGCATAGGGTCCATTCCAGCCTTGCAATGAAAGGGTTCTAAGAAAGGGTTTCTAAGCTCTCTCTCTGCCCTGACCTCACTGCCTCTTTGTTGTACTGTATATGGAGTTCACATTCTGAACTCCAGGGGATGGTGGTCTACAACTCACATGATTCATCTCAGTGGACCATGATGGTGAAGACTGATGGGCATTGCAGTCCAGTACTCCTGGGGAGTTGGAGTTTTCAAGTTATTGTTTTGTATCTTGCTGGAGAATGGACCAGTGGTTTTTATTATACCTAAGAAGGTTATAAGTACTAGGGAGAAGAAAGCCGAAGAATAGCATTGATTAATGTGACATATTTGAGTTTTCTTTTTACTACTGTCTCAACAGCCAGTCAGAGGGATCAGCTTCTCACACAGTAAATTAAATTTAAATTACGAAGTCTTGGGGAGAAAATTGCTCAGTTAATCTGGCCTCCTGAAATGAAATTTTATTTTTTTTCCACATGAACTCCGTCCTAATTTTTCATACCCTGTTGGTTTCTGCTAGAAATCCCATCAATTTAGGTTCTTTTCTTTTCTTCTTTTCTCTTTAAAAGCAAGGTATTAGCTTTCAGCAAATTTATCTTGCAGCACCAGAATGTAATCTGTCTAGCCTCCAATAGGAAGAACTAACCAAAAGATTTAAACATCAATTTGCAGTTGTTTGGAAAGGTGGGAAATAACAACCAGCACACACACACACAAATAAGGACCACCCACCACAATAAAAACATTAAAAATATAACAAGAGAGATGTACAGTATTATAAACTGAATCAGGTAATAAACTGGTATATAAATAGCTGGAAATATATGGGATCCTGTTAACGCATTTACAGTACATCCTATAATGCCTTTAGAGCTACAAGCCCCACTGATTTCAGTGTACAGTGGTGCCTCGTAAGACGATTGCCTTGCGGGATGAAAACCCTGCAAGACGATTGGTTTTAGCGATTCCTATGGTGCCTCGTAAGACGATTTTTTCTATGGCCATGCTTCGCGAGACTTTTTTTTCGAGACTGATGCTTTGCAAGACAAATAAATTTCGTTCGTCTTGCGAGGTTCCTATAGGAACAGTGTGAGTTTTCAGCTTTTTTCTTTTAGCATTTTCCCTGGCCTTAAAATAACTCATTTCACTCCTGTTTAGCCACTTGTTAGTATTTTTCTTGGACATGTATGAAGTGATCAAGGGACATTTTGCTGTATTTTTTTGGGGGGGGAGAAGAGTCTAATAGGTTTCAGAGCAATTTAAGATCCTCTTTGTTCTTTCTGAAGCAATTTCACTATACCTCAGGAAGTAAAAAAATGTGTGCTGCATCCTTGAGCCCTTTTAAAGCAGACATACAGATATTGGAAAGTTAGTCTGAAAAAGAATGATAATTTTGCCCAGAATTCTACTGTGTTTTTCATACCAGTGTAATGCAGTCATAAATCTCATCAATGAACGGTCAGCATATGCTGAGTGTGGCTCATGCTGACCTCTTAACTTGAAACAAATCACCACTGAAATTTATGCCAAGAGTGTTACACCAGCAGGTGTAACTAATGGGATTCTGGCCAACGAGATGTTGAGGCCATCCAAACTGAAGAAGTGGATGGATGATGTGCTGGGACCACAGAGGACGGTCCTACCAATGCTCAGTCATAGAAGGCTTCAGCACATCACTACATTTGTTCTTCTTAGAAGTAACTTTCCAGTGTCTGTATCTGTCCCAGACGAAACGGTATGTTAAATTCCTGAAAAGGGAAATGTTGGGATAGAGGTCTACAGAAACTTCTTACACTTTGTTCCAGAAGCCTGTTATTGTCTTCCTCCATCCAACAAATTATTTATTTTACTTATTTAAAATATTTATGTGTCACTTTTCTCCTAATGGATCCTAGGCCGATTACAGTATTTTTAAAAAAGTTAAAAGCTAGAATATTATTTTTTTTAAAAAAAAGAATTAAACAAATATATTAAATAGGAGTGTAGTGTTCACCCCTTGTTATGCAAAATAACTCATGCATTATTCATGTTCTATGCTGATGTGGTTGAGAGGTGGGGCCACCAGATATGTTAAAAAGGTGGAGCCTGAGGCGCAGGGAGTAGAGTTCAGTCAGAGTTAGGGATATATATATATATATGGGAGATCTGAGGTGTGATTAGTCTTAGGAGCGAATAGTAACCTGTGAGATTTCAATAGAAGATTGATGCTTGATGAACCTGAAGTAAATACTTATGAATTATTAAAGAAACATCTGTAATTAATAAACCTGTTTTAAGAAAAAGTGAAAACTGAATGGACCTTCATCTTTCCTAAGTAAAGTATGTTGATTTAATGATCAACTGGTGGCAGCGTGTGAAAAGGCGTTTCGTTTGCCTTCTTGTGCTCTGTGTTTGGAAAACAAACAGGGGCCACGAGGGGCAAACGTCACAAGGAACAATATTAAAAACACAAATAAAACAACAGAATAAAATAATTCCTTTTAAAAAAAATCCCCCTTGGTCAATCAGTTGTTTAAATAAAAGCCTTCCTGAAGAGAAAGGTCTTCGTCTGCTTGTAGAAACAAAGACCTTAGCTGCCATTTTAAACACAGTTGTTGGGGGAAAGGGTTATTAAATGTAGTGTGTTTCCATTTGGTTCTACACACCAAACTCCTGCTTAATTGCCTCCCCCTTGCACCCTGCCAAGCTGAGGGAGAAATACAAGTGAACACCTTGTACCTTCTGCTTCCTGGATTTCCACCAATCTCATTCTTTCATATATATATTTTTAAAAGTGGACTGGGACAAGCTGATTAGACATGTTGGTGGCCCAGTGTTGGCCACAGTCAGAGCAGCACCTCATAGCCAGCTTTCGCATTCTATACCCAGAGGCAAGAGAACATTGTTTCTGAGCTCCTGTGTAACCATCTGGTCCTCTTCATATCTACCCAGTCCCTGCCAAACTGGGGCAGAAAAGGCGAGAGGGGAGGAATCATAAATAAGGTCCAACTCCAAACTGTTTCCCAACAAGGAAATGGGTTTAATGGATCCTTGCATATGTGTGCATTCACTTTCTCTCTCCCTGCTTTGGAGGCAGCACTAGGATCCTGGAAGAAATTAAAAGAAACTAAACTAAGCTTGACTAAAGTATGTTTGTGGGTCTTGTTTCATTCCTTCACATGTTGGCCATTCACATTTTAAAAGTATGTACCTTGTTTTCTGTGCACTTCATTTCGCCAAAACATACCGGAAATGTGTGAACTATCAAGGTGAGCCCCCCCCCTTTTTTTGTCGCCCATGTCAAGAAATACAAAAACATTAATTTAGGGGAGAATAATGAATCCAGTTAGGTTCTCTTCCTTAGGCAGGAGTGGAAGGGTAAAAATTAGGTTAAAATGCGACCTGTTGTGCCAGACATTGCTTTATTAATGCACAGAACCTGAAAATAAAATAAAATAAATAAATAAATAAATAAATAAAAATAGACTTAGAAGAGAAGGTGGGGAAAGAGATTTGGGTGGAAAAGAAGAGATTGAAAGAAGTGGCCCTCAAGGAGAAAGATACCTCTTGAAAGTGGTTGTGAGGGAGCAGAAAGGAAGGAGAGGAAAGTTGTCCACATATAGGAGTGTGTGTAGAGGCAAAAAAAAAGAGGAAGAAAAAGTGCAATTATGTTCAGAGGAGAAAGCAAAATAGAAGGTGAAGGAGGCAATACACTCACAGAAAGGAAAAGAAGGGTGCAGCACCAAATGTCCCAGTGGGCTGCTGACATAATCCTCTGTTAGGTCTCCAGTTTAAAAAAAGAATCTTACCTCATCTTTAGGGAAAAAAATATATCTACAGCAACGTGAGCTCTGTGAGCAGTCAAAAAAATTTACATCACCACAAAAAAAAAACCTCGCAGAGTGTTGTGTGTCTCATAAACTCTTGGATGACTGCCTGTGCTTGGAAACCTGGACGTTGGCAAAGGTGAGGGCACATTGCCGGACTGGTTTGGAGTAACTCAGATGGCCTTTTTCTTGCCTTTACAGACCACAGATGACATCCTGGTGGCCTCAGCCGAATGCCCCAGTGACGATGAGGACATTGATCCCTGTGAGCCGAGCTCAGGTGGGTTAGGTTAGTCAAATTTTTTTATTACTTTCTTTTCCGTTTTTTTTAATTCTTTGCATGGAGCGGGGGGGGGGGGAAGAGCACCCTCTTTCAGCCTGTGCTCTTGCACTGGTGGTAGAGGCGAGACAACTCTCGGTCCTGGGAGAGCCCTCGAAGGGCCCCAGATGGTAGCACTCGGCATAATCAGGAGGGCGAGGAAATGGCATTGACAAATCTGAGGGTCCTGGAATTTTCATCTCCATCTTTCTTTGTGAGACCTTACAGACATTATGGGCCTTTTGTGTAGGGATGAGTCATGGACCAAGCAGGAAGAGGTGCTTCATCCTTAGGTTTGGTGGAAGCTACCCTCCTGCGGCTCCAGTCATGAGCTACTTGTGGCTTTGAGAGTGGAAAACTAGAAGCTGTGTACAAAGATTCTGTGGGAATACCTTTTTCATGTGTATTAGAAACTTCGCTGTTTTTTTCCTAATACTTCTCATCCAAATGAGTCAGAGGGTAGTGACAGCATTTATGTGTGACTTGCTATGATTTAAAATGAGTTTCTTGATTGTACACCCTTTTCTGTTCCAAGTGTATTTGGAGTTCTATGGATAAAGTAGTTCCAGATTTTAAAACAGTGTTTTATAGGCTATTTTCAAAATTTGGGACACTTTCTGAGTCAACTGGACCTTAACAAGCAACCCATCCTTTCCATCTGAACAGATTGGGCTAAATCCAATGGTTCATCCCAACCAGTGAATGAATGAGACTTGTTAAGTCAACGCTTAATTTAGGCCCATTGATCAACTAACTGGTCTACTCTGGTTTGGACAAACAGTTGGATTTATCCCACAGGCATTAAGCTGTGCTTCTCTCTCTCCCTATTTCTCTCTGTAAGTGTCTTAGAACAGTGGTCCCCAACCTTGGGCCTCCAGGTGTTCTTGAACTACAACTCCCAGAAGCCTTCATCACCACCTCTGCTGGCCAAGATTTCTGGGAGTTGAAGTCCAAGAACATCTGGAGGCCCAAGGTTGAGGACCACTGTCTTAGAAGACATTTTGTGACCATGTAGTCAAGTGGCCATTCAACATCCTTGTATTCTACTTTTTCTGGAGAGCTTTCCTTTGTCATGATTGGCCCTGTAACTTGCTCCATACATAATACGGCTATCATAATAACACAGTAAAATGACTAGTCACAATTTTTAACATTTTTAAAAGTACAAGTTTCCATATTAAGAATTCATAGTGTGACTGTTCTTATCTTCAACCAGAGAAGACTGTGGGTGATGCAGTAAAGGAGTTATAGCAGTATCTTTTCTTTTTCTCCTTAATAAAGAACTTTATTGAAATTCTAAGGTCTTTTACATATGCATATTGTTGAAACACATGAAGCTAAATCAGAATACCTGCCCATCTACATCAGTAATGTCTGTTTGGCAAAGACTCTCTAGGGCATAAGACAGAGAAGATCTTCTCCACCAAACCCTTCCTGCTATACTAACACAACTGATATCACAAAAGGTATCATTTGGCATTTTTCTTTGTCTTGGACCAGCAAGACAACCATTCCTATTTGCTAGGAGCTACTGGGCAGTTGAATCAACAAGATGTGATATAAAACAATGAAAACTGGCAAGGCAGAATGGTTTTTTACATCCTGATGCCTTGGCTCTGTTGATCTGTTTCAACAATTTGGCTTTTCCCAGACTTCATTCCGACCGTACCATCTGCTTCTGTCCAGACTTTGTCACATCTGTTGCAGTGGAATGGCCTTTAACGGGGTTGTCATTCTGAAGTTCTGACAATGTTTTAAATTATTAATTTGGAATTTTGGTTTTCCCTCTCCCCCCTCCCCCAGACACATTCTGCACTATTGTGAGAGTTCTGTGTGAACCTGTGTGGTTAAAGCCACACATAAAAATTAAGTTTAATAATATCACCAACTTAGGCAAAGCTCAACAAGATGGAATCTTTGTAGATAACCATGACTTACCAAAAGACCAGAATATTTACAAATAAAGCAAAAAAATAAAAAAGAGGGGAGTTTACTTTTGTGGCAAAAGTAATATTGATCTCAAAACGTTTCACAGATTCATTAGAAAGATAAAAATAGACTGTCAAGAGACGATGAGGATGAGGATTTCAGCCTGTATCCCATTTTTCCTTGTGAGAGTCTAGAAAGTCTGATGCTTCACATTAAAAACACAGTTAAAATAATTACAAAGTGACTAAATCACAAACTTAAAACACACCGATAACATACAACTTAGAATTACAAAACTATCAAACATAGATTACAAATGGCATAACCAGACAGTGTGCACAAAGCATAAATCAAACACCTGCTTATTCCACAAAAGGTTGTACAAATAAATACTTTTAACTGGTGCCTGAAAGATAGAACTGTGGGTGACAAATGGGACACCTCTACTGAGGAAAACCTGCCTCATCTAGTAATTAAGGCAGGCATGCTGACTTCATAACAGTTTTAATGTGTGAAACATCTTTCCTTTTAAAATCTTTCACACAGTAGATCTCCCCTGATGTGTATTTGTAGAAACAATAACACAGTGAGGTGAGGAAAAACGAAAGGCAGAGGGTCCATCATATCCAAAGGGAAGAGGGCGATTTCCCTGGGTTATTTACCCCTGGGTGGGTGTTCTTCCCTTCTTCCCTTCTTCTCTTCTGAGATCCCTCCCATTGACTGGTGGAGATGGTGAGGACTCTAGAGGTGGAGGCCTTCAAGAAAAAATTGGACAACCCTCTGTCAGATCTGCTTTGATCGGGATTCCTGCATTGAGCAAGTGGTTAGAGTCAACAGCCTTATAGGCCCCTTCCAACTATGATTCTATGACTGAAATTAAAATGAACCAGTCTACACAGCTTTATATTTGCTGCTGGATGGAAGCTTCCCGGGGGAAATAGAAAAACTTTACATTGCACATCCGGAGCCTTCCATCGATCCTCCCTTTCAGAAACACAGGAAATGGCCTCTTTCCCTGCCTTTCCAGGGAAGAGCTACAGAAGCATTTCCAGCAATGGGGCAGGTTTGAAGTTCTGAAATGTTCTTCATCGAGAAGACATTCTAGAGCTAATAGAGCAGCCCACCTTCAAAAAAAATGTTTGAGACTAAAACCCAGAATGGAATTGCCGCCTCACACACAAACCCTTTAAAATGTCAGTCATCAGCCTTCACTGATTGGTCCAGACCTGTGGACTGCATCACAGCTTAAAAAGGCTGGGGACATCAAGGGGGGTCCTAAGACTTTGTGCAATAAAATGCATCAAAACTGTTTCAACAGCTTCTGCCATTACCCAATGTAATATAACTGCAATTGGCAAAGTTGTTGTGTTTTATAGAAAGGGCTGGAAAACAGAGAGGGCTGGAGGCAGGCAGAGAGCTGATTCACCTTCAATCCATGCCAAAAAAACCTACTTGCCAGCTGTAAATCACCTACCTTAGTACAATGCTACAAGCTTTATATTTGGTTTTAAACCCTTCTAATGAGATTGTAGCATCCAAGCAGCATAAAAATATGGGTATATTGCCGTGATGATTCATAAAAGCCAGCAATGTTAAGGAATTACCAAACAGTGTTAGAGCAGCTAGGTGATATCCAGGATCAGTTTTTTTTTTCCAGGAAGTATTGATGTCCCTTGTTCACCAGGCAGTTCTTCCTGGAAAGGGTGTTCCAGATATAGGATGGCACAACTAAAAAGGCCTTCTTTTCAATAAATAGCATCAGAAGGGAAAAAAACTATGGAAGAAGCTTTGGATAAAGATTGAAATATGTATTAGCACCAATTATTGTGCAGGGAAGCAGTCCTTTGATACCTGAATGTCTAGTGATGCTCTTCTCCAAGAGAAGCACAAGCAGAGAAGTGAACAACCAGACACTGCAGCTATTTAATGAAATTAGCCCAACTTATATTTTGGAGTAACTAAAGTCTGAAGACGTCTTCAAGGGCAGCCCCATTTATGAAGCATTGTAGTAGTCTAATTCCAAGTGTACTAAGGCCAGGCTGCTTCCACTTTGGCACCTTGGGTCCCCACACTGGAAGGCGCCTTATAAATGAAACAAACAAACAATTTTTACCCAAGGCTTAAGCGAAACAAAAAGCTCCCTTGAGATGCTGATCCAGAAAGTTCAGATGCACCAACAACGCTTAGATCTCCCTTCCCTCATCTTGAAACAAGTAACCACTTTTGGGTAACAAGGATATAACTAGGGTTCATTTCAGAAGGAATATAATGGACAGAAATACAATGGCATGGTTGGTAATGCCTTCTGATTACTTTCTAAGTTACTTTTTAAGGAACCTTTGGGCCCTTCAGAGACACTGGCAGGAATTCAAGACAGAGGCTATTCTCTTATTAACCTTAATGGGTTGTCTTCAAAAGAAACAAAAGTAACAGAATCTCAATAAGCAATGCATTGAATTCTTTTTTGAGTATTTGAAGAAATAGCAACAGTGGGTCCTCAGTATGATGTAGTGGATACAGTGATGGACTGGGACTCTGGAGAACAGGGGCTGAGTCCCCACTTTGCCATGGAAACTCACTGGGTTAATGGAACTGGTAAAACTATTCCTTAAATGTCTCACTTACCTTGAAAGCTGTATTAGGGTCTCTATGAGTCATTTCCAACTTGACGGAAGAGAACACACACACAGTTTATTTAAAACCCATAATAACCAACAATAGGATTATTAGCATACCTGCACACATGGTACTTTGGGGGGGGGACACTTTGGAACAGATTTGGATAGGATCCAGCAGTGGATTTTCTCAAGCAAAACATTGGGACCCTGGAGGATGATTTCCCCCTCTCCATCAATCCATGTCTCTCTTCAACAAGCACAGGAGGGCTGGAAAACCCACCAGATCTGGTTTCCATTGAGTATGGAAGGGTGCAAGGCCTAGGGGATGGGAAGAAACTTATCAAATGTTCACCTATTTAAGCAATTAACGCCAGCTACATTCAATTCAGTACGTTGCCATTGATGTAGAAGGAA